GCAATGCGAAGGGTATCGATATGGATGTGCCGTGCCGAGGGCTGTGCTGTGACTGGGCGACCTGGACATGTGAAAACACGGGTTTCGCTCAAGACGTTTTCATTACATCCTCATGCTAGACATCCGCCTGGGCAACCTGGACACGTGCAAACAAGCTCGAGCTGCCTGAGCAGATGGTAGCTGCCCCAGAACCAATCGACAGAGGGGACATGCCAGGAGGACGCGCCGTGGAACGTCCCAAGGGACGCGCCAGGCGACGTGCCAGGGGACGTGCCATGGGCACGCACCGCGGGACGTGCCAAGGGGACGCGCTACGGAACGTGCCAATGGACGTGCCGCGGGACGTGCCAGGGGACGCGCCGCGCGACGTGCCAGGTGGACTCGCCACGGAACGCGCCAAGGAACGTGCCAAGATGTAATGTTGAACGTATCGATCTTGATGTACCGTGCCGACGGCTGCGCTGTGCTGGCCGTGCTGAATTGCGATGTGCCATGCCGCGATGGTGCTCTATATAGCGTTGTGGATCGAATCCTCTTTACATCCGAGTCCTGACCGAACTGATCTGGATCTTAAGCTCGATCTGCCTGAGCAGATGGTAGCTGCCCCAGAACTAGTCGACAGGGGGACATGCCAGGAGGACGCGCCGCGGAACGTCCCAAGGGACGCGCCAGGCGACGTGCCAGGGGACGTGCCATGGGCACGCACCGCGGGACGTGCCAAGGGGACGCGCTACGGAACGTGCCAATGGACGTGCACCGCGCGACGTGCCAGGGGGACTCGCGACGGGACGCTCCGCGGAACGTGCCAGGCAACAAGCCAGGCTGCAATGCTAAGGGTATCGATCTTGATGTACCGTGCCGAGGGCTGTGCTGTGCCTGGGCGACCTGGACACGTTCGCTCAAGACGTTCTCGGCACATCCTCATGCTAGACATTCGCCTGGGCAACTTGGACAAGTGCAAAGAAGCGTCTCGATCGAGACTTCCTCGAGACATCCTCATGCTAGACATCTGTCTGGGCAACCTGGAGGCGTGAAACTAAGCGTCTTGCTCGAGACATCCTCAAGTCCTGGGCACGTGAAAACAAGCATTTCACTTGAGAGATCCTCTGAATTCAGGTCCCCAGGAGAGGACAATCTATATCAAAAAACAAGACTTTCGCTCGAGACATCCTCAACAAATTCTGAAAAACAAGCGTTTCGCTAGGGAATCCTTAAATTTTAAGTCGCCGGCCCTACGCGACCTCGTTATTTATCGCAAAAGAAATTCGCCGGCCCTACAGCCGTCAGATCCGGGGGCAAACCCCTAAAAGAGAATCCTGGGCCTACGCCCTTTCCGGGAGAAAACAGGGTTGCACGCTCGGGCACTTGTTTCCCTGTTAACGGAGGCCTTAACAGGGACTTACCAGGGAAAATCGGGTGACGGACGCGTTTTTTCCTTGTTAACGGACCGTTAGCAGGGAAAAGAGTTCCCTGTTAACGGACCGTTAACGGACCCTGAACACCGCGGCTCCCAAGAGCGACCAGTGACGTAAACAATTTGATAAGACCAAGGCTCCCAACAGAGAGCGGTGACGTAACCAGTTTTTGACACCAGGGCCCGAAACAGGCGGCAATGTAAGCTCCGCGTAAGCTGCGCGTAGGCTTCGCGCAGGCTTCGCGTAGGCTTCGCGTAATTAAGCGCGTACAGTCCTCGTCAACTTGAGGTACCTTCAAGACAGCCCATGAGAGACCAAGCGTCCTCCAAGACGGTCCAATATGTCTCCAAGACGACCCAAGAAGCTAGAGGCCCGTAAGATCGCCCCAAGATGACCCAAGATACCCCCAAGACGGCCCCAAGACGTGTTCGAACATCTGCACGTATGCAGACGGCTTCAACGGCCTCCGAGACAGCGTAGAGAGGCCCAGACGGGCCGAGGACGGCCCAAGAGCGATCCAGATAGCCCACGACGGCCTCAATACGGCTCAAGAGGTCTCCAAGACTCCCCCCCGAGCACCGAAGGGCGGTTTAAGCGGGACAAAAAAACGAAAGGGCTTTCGCCGCCAGGGGGTCGCCCTTGGCCCCGCCCTGCCTGCATAAGCTCCTCGCCAGCTGAAGGCACCTCCAAGACGGCGTGAGAGAGGCCCAGCCGGGACCGAAGACGGCCCAAGAGCGATCCAAACATGATCGACCCACGAACCCGGAAAGGAATATAGAAATGTAAGGCATGGCAACGTTTCAAATACACCTGATTGGGCGACGGGCAAATGCAATGCTGAATGTATCGATCTTGATGTACCGTGCCGAGGGCTGTGCTGTGCTGGGCCGTGCTGAACTGCGATGTGCCATGCCGCGGTTGTGCTCTATATAGCGATGTGGATCGAGTCCTCTTTGCATCCGAGTCCTGACCGAACTGATCTGGATCTTACGCTCGAGCTGCCTGAGCAGATGGTAGCTGCCCCAGAACTAATCGACAGAGGGGACATGTCAGGAGGACGCGCCGCGGAACGTCCCAAGGGACGCGCCAGGCGACGTGCCAGGGGACGTGCCATGGGGACGCACCGCGGGACGTGCCAAGGGGACGCGCTACGGAACGTGCCAGTGGACGTGCACCGCGCGACGTGCCAGGGGACGCGCTGCGCGACGTGCCAGGGGGACTCGCCACGGAACGCGCCAAGGAACTGGCCAAGGTTCAATGTTGAGTTTATCGATCTTGATGTACCGTGCCGACGGCTGTGCTGTGCTGGGCCGTGCTGAACTGCGATGTGCCATGCCGCGGTTGTGCTCTATATAGCATTGTGGATCGAGTCCACTTTACATCCGAGTCCTGACCGAACTGATCTGGATCTTACGCTCGAGCTGCCTGAGCAGATGGTAGCTGCCCCAGAACTAATCGACAGAGGGGACATGCCAGGAGGACGCGCCGCGGAACGTCCCAAGGGACGCGCCAGGCGACGTGCCAGGGGACGTGCCATGGGGACGCACCGCGGGACGTGCCAAGGGGACGCGCTACTGAACGTGCCAATGGACGTGCACCGCGCGACGTGCCAGGGGGACTCGCCACGGGAGGCTCCGCGGAACGTGCCAGGCAACAAGCCAGGCTGCAATGCGAAGGGTATCGATATGGATGTGCCGTGCCGAGGGCTGTGCTGTGACTGGGCGACCTGGACATGTGAAAACACGGGTTTCGCTCAAGACGTTTTCATTACATCCTCATGCTAGACATCCGCCTGGGCAACCTGGACACGTGCAAACAAGCGTCTCGATCGAGACTTCCTCGACACATCCTCATGCTAGACATCCGCCTGGGCGACCTGGACACGTGAAAACAAGCCTCTGGACATCTGTCTGGGAAACCTGGAGGCGTGGAACCAAGCGTCTCGCTCGAGACATCCTCAAGACTTGGGCACGTGAAAACAAGCATTTCACTTGAGAGATCCTCTGAATTCAGGTCCCCAGGAGGGGACAATCTAAAACACAAAACAAGCGTTTCGCTCGAGATATCCTCAACAAAATCTGAATCACAAGCGTTTCGCTCGAGACATCCTCAAATTCTAGACGCTTCGCGTATCCCCACAGGTCCGTAGCCCTCTGGCTCAAGGCCGCTCTGGCTCGAACTGGCCTCAGCGGCTGGCCGGCCGTGGCCGGGGGCCCGCCCCGCGGTCCTCGGACTCCCCGCCCGCGGGGGCGCGCGAGGGGCTCGCCCCCCTCCGCGCCCCCGCTCGCTCTGCCATGGAGTCGCGCTCGGCGCGGCGGCGGCGGCAACGGCGCGCCGCCGCCTGCCGCGCCGCCGCCGCGGCTGGCCCGGCCGGCCTGCCGCCGCCTGGCTGCCTCGGCGTGGCCGGCGGTGCCGCCGCCGCGGCCGCCGCCGCCGCGGCGGCCGCCGCGGCTGTTGCGGCGGCCGGCCGCGGCGAGACCGCCGGCCGCCGCCTGCCGCACCGCCGCCGCGGCCGGCCCGGCCAGCCTGCTGCCGCCGCGGCCCGGCGCGGCCCCCGGCCTTTGCGTGGCTGGCGGCGCCGCCGCCGCGGCCGCCGCTGCCGCTGCGGCCCCGCCGGCTGAGGCGGCTGCGGGCCGCGGCGAGACCGCCGCGGCCGCCAGCGCTGTGGCGCGCGCCGCCGCCCTGGGGCCGGCCGCGGCGGCCGCTGCCGCCGCGGGTGCGGCGGCCGCCGCCGTGGCCGCTGCGGCCGCTGCGGCCGCTGGCGCTGCCACTCCCGCTGCTGTCGGTGTCGCGGCCGACGCTGCGGCCGCCGCCGCCGCGGCCGCCGACGCCGCGGGCGAGGCGGCGCTGTACACTGGATCCCCTCTGCGCGCCTTCATGTTTGAGAGCGAGCTGGGCGTTCAGGTGCTGCAGGACGGGTTCGACGTCGCGGACGTGGAGGTGGAGGTGAAGGCGGAGAAGGCCGCGGAGGCGGAGGTCGAGGACGTGGAGGTGGAGGTGGGGGCGGAGGACGAGGACGTGGAGGTGGAGGCGGAAGACGAGGACGTGGACGAGGTGGACGAGGAGATGAAGCGGTCCTTGAACGCGGAGCTGGCCAGCGGCCGCCTGGCCATGGTGGCCATCATCGGGATGTTCCTCCAGGACGGCCTCACGGGCTCCGCCTGGGGCGACTGGTCGACCTACACGGATTCGCCGCTGCGCGCCGTCGAGAGCGAGTGGGACCTGCAGCCGCCCGTCGGCTACTGGGGCCCGCTCGACCTGGCGAAGGACTTCGGTGCGGACCCCCCCCACAGGAGGAGAGACACCGAGGTCAAGCACGGCCGCGTCGCCACGTGGGCCGCCATAGGGTGCATCGTGCAGGACTTCTTCCCGTGGCAGGGAGGTGTCGTCCTCGAGGGCTCCGCCCAGGGCGACTGGGCGACCCGCGCGGATCTGCCGCCGCGCGCCATCGAGAGCGTGTGGGGCCGGCAGGCGCCCGTCGGCCACTGGGGCCCGCTCGGCCTTGCAAAGGACGGCGGTGCGGACGTCGTCGACAGGAGGAGGCGCACCTAGATCAAGCACGGCCACTTTGCCACGTGGGCCGCCATGGGGTACAGTAGGACGGATATCTTCCTGTGGCCAGGAGGTGTCGCCCTCGACGGGCCTGCGCGTTCGTCCGAGCTGGGCAGGTCTTCAGCCTCGGATGCGTTCCAGCAGCGGCGCCTCGCCGAGGACAGTCCGGGGCTGCCCAGATCGCCCCGAACGACCGCCAGGGGCCCAAGTTACGTTACGAGGCTTCCGAGGGGCCTGAGCGCTCCTGGCAAGGTGTCTTCTCACAGCTTCAGAAAGGACGAGCCTTCAGCGCGAGAACCAGAGACTGACACATCGAGCAACCGCAGAGGTGAAGAACCTTCAGCTCGAGAATCGGAGGCGGCACCAATGGTTGTCGGGGGCGCCACTGGGCACGTGGCCACGAGCGGCGACGGGAGTCGCCGCGCGCCCGCCGCCCTTCCTGGAGTTGACAGCATTGCCCACGTAGAGAATGGGCCTTCAGCCCGAGGAGCTCCCAGCGAAACGGCAGCTCTGAGCGATCCTGCAGCTTGGGACGCCCCAAGCGGACTGTTCGGCGCCGACGGCGATGCAACGACCAGTCAACTCCCTGGAGACTCCTGTAACCCCAGGGACTTGCGTCAGCCACCCGCCCCCCAGTTGGACAGTCGAGGTACAGCTCCTCCTTCCTATCAGCGTGTGGCGCGAGCTCAAGCTATCGCATTGCCAGTCGCCGGGGCCGTCGGCCACCACCTCGTTCTCCATTGTTCCCCCCATGGCAACAGTACTGTGGCGACAGGTGGCAGTGCTGCTGAGGGGGCGCCCGTGGTTGGAGACCAGTTTCCTCCCGACAAGAGGTCCACGACGCCTCCCCGAGCGGATGGTGGAGTTTCCACAGGCATATCTCACAGCTCCAGAAAGGACGAGCCGGACCGAGTGCATTCCGCCCACGTCCCCGATCCACATCCCATTGGCTCACGCCCACGCTCCGCCGACCACCCTCCCCTGGACGCGTCCAGTGCCGCTGGGCATGTGGCCGCGAGAGGCGACGGGAGTCGCCGCGCGCCCACCGCCCTTCCTGGAGTTGACAGCACCTCGCACGCAGAGAATGGGCCTTCAGCCCGAGGAGTTCCCAGCGATGCGGCGGCGTCGAACGATCCTGCAGCTTGGGGCGCCCCGAACGGACTGTTCGGCGCCGACGGCGATGCAACGACCAGTCAACTCCCTGGACGCTCCTGTAACCCCGAAGACTTTCGTCCGCCCCCCGCCCCCCAGTCGGACAGTCGCGGATGTGACGAGCCTTCAGCTCGAGATACTCACGCGGAACGAGCCTGCAGCTCGAGGGTCCAAGGCGTATCTGGTAATCACAGAAGTGACGAGCCTTCAGCTCGAGATCCAGGTCCTGACGCCCCTGGAGAGGCGATGACCGCGTCGCCAGTCGACGACTTTGTGGCCGGCGGACTGGCTGACTCAAGGCATCCTCACCCTAGATCACAGGACACCATCCCGCCAGGGCAGCCGTTGCTCTTTGCTCCCTGGAACGGGAACGCTTCCGCCGACGCCACATGTACACGAGAACCGTTGGCCTTCAGCCAAACGTGAGGAGGGGGTGATGCGTTCAACCCCTGGATTTGATAACGACAGGCATGATGCCCTCCCGCCTAGCTTTTCCCCCTCGCTCACCCCAACCCTTCCCATGCCCATTGCTGGGCGCCCAATCTCCTTCTCTCCGGGCGGTGCTGGGCAGAACTGGATCGCCCTCGGCGATGCCAGGATTACGAGGGGCGAGGGCCACGCTCCTGAACCAGCTAATTCCCCCACGGCTCCTAGTCTTCGCAGGCAGTCTGACGAGGGGCAGAGGGGTGCCCTCGGCGTTCGACCCGGGGGCCTCCGCGACGTGGAGGGGGAGACTAGGGAACTGACGCCCCCAGGAGGCGCTCGCGAGGGCGTCGGGAAAGGAGGCGGGCAGACGCCTGCCCTTGGCCCCCACTCGCTTCGCAGAGGCTTGTGCCTTCACTCCGCCGAGCCTCCCCTTCTGGACGCGCCTGCGCCGAGTGAGGCTGCCCCCAGCCGCGAATTGAACATAGAAGATGGGCCTTCGGCCCTTGGAGCGCCTTCCGACGCCGACGCGGCGCTCAGTCGCTTCCAAGGACTTGAGAGCGGCAGGCGCGATGCTGGAGGGGGGGGGGGGGGGGGATGCATTCATCCCTGCGATACGCACAGATCTTGCGACCTTCAGTCGCTTCCCTGGATCGGATGACAGCAGGCAGAGGGATGCCCGCGGCGTTCGACCCAGGAACCGTAGCGGCGTGGAAGAGAGGACCAGGGATCTGGCTCCCACAGGGGGTGGTCGCGAGGGCGTCGACAGTATGCACGCTGACGTTGCGACCTTCAGTCGGTTCCCTGGATGTGATAACGGCAGGCATGATGCCCTCCCGCCTAGCTTATCCCCCTCTCTCACCCCAACCCTCCCATGCCCACTGCTGGGCGCCCAATCTCTTTCCCTCCTGGGGGTGCTGGGCCGAGTGGGATTGCCTTCGGCGATGCCTGGAGTACGGGGGGCGAGGGCCCCACTCCTGAGCAAGCAACACCCCCACGGATCCAGGTCCTCGTAGGCAGACTGACGAGGGGCAGAGAGATGCCCTCGGCGTTCGACCCAGGGACCACTGCGACTTGGAGGGGGAGCCTAGGGAACTGGCACCCCCTGGGGGCGCTCGCGAGGGCGTCGGCAGGGGAGACGGGCAGACGCCTGCCCTTGGTCCCGACTCGCTTCACAGAGGCTTGTGCCTACACTCCACCGAGCCTCCCCTCCTGGACGCGCCTGCGCCGAGTGATGCAGCCTTCGGCTGCGAACTGACCATAGAAGATGGGCCTTCAGTCCCTGGAGCGCCTTCCGACGCCGGCGCAGCGTTCGGTCGCTTCCCTGGGCCTGAGAGCGGCAGGCGCGATCCTGGAGGAGGGGGCGATGCGTTCATCCCTGCGATACACACAGATATTGCGACCTTCAGTCGCTTCCCTGGATCGGGTGACGGCAGGTAGTGGGATGCCCACGGCGTTCGACCCAGGAACCGTAGCGGCGTGGAAGAGAGGGCCAGGGATCTGGCTCCCACATGGGGGTGCCTGCGAGGGTGTCGGGAGGGGAGACAGGCAGGCGCCTGCCCTTGGTCCCGACTCGCTTTGCAGAGGCTTGCGCCTTCTTTCCGCCGAACTTCCCCTCCTGGATGCTTCTGCGCTGAGCGAAGCAGCCTTCAGCTGCGAATTGAACATAGAAGATGGGCCTTCTGCCCTTGGAGCGACTTTTGACACAGTTGAGCGAGCCTTCAGCTCCAGGCGCCAAGGTGCATCTAGCAACCTCAGAAATGAAGAGCCTTCAGCTCGAGAGCCCGAGACGGCACTAATGGTCTTCGGGGGCGCTGCTGGGCATGTGGCCACAGGCGGCGACAGGCGTCGCCACGTGCCCGCCTTCCCTGGAGTTGACAGCCCTACTCGAACAGACAACGGGCCTTCAGCCCGAGGAGCTCCCAGCGAGACAGCAGCTTCGATCGACCCAGCAGCCTTAGGCGCCCCAAGCGGACGCCTCAGCGCCAAGGTCGATCCTGCGACCAGTCAATTGCCTGGACACTTCCTTAATCCCGAAGACTTTCGTCAGCCGCCCGCCCCCCCAGTCAGACAGGCGCGGACGTGACGAGCCTTCAGCTCGAGATTCTCATGCGGAGCGAGCCTTCAGCTCGAGGGTCCAAGACGCAGCGGGAGGTAGCATAAGTGACATAGAAGCAGCCCTTGGAGCGACCTGTGACACAGCAGAGCGGCCCTTCAGCTCGAGACTCCAAGGCGCATCCCGCCACCTCAGAGGTGGCGAGCCTTCAGCTCGAGAGTCGGGGGCGGCACCAAGGGCTGCCGAGAGTGCCGGCGGGCATGTGGCCACGAGCGGCGACGGGAGGTGCTCCTCGCCCGCCGCCTCTCCTGGATTTGACAGGGCCGAACACGCAGAAAGCGGGCCTTCAGCCTTAGGAGCTTCCAGCGAGGTCGTGGCCCACCGCTCCCCCCCTGGCAACAGTATCTTGGCGACAGGTGGGATTGCTGCTGAGGGGGCGCCCGCGTTCAATGACCAGCCTCCTCCCGAGAAGAGTTCCACGACGCCTCCCCGAGCGGATGGTGGAGGTTATCCCGAGCCTCCTCGCAGCGTCGAGGGCCAGGAGTTCACGCCGGAGCGTGTGTGCGTGCGGGCCACAGACGGGCGCGTGTTTGCGATCGGCACCGACCCTCCAGCCAGCGCCTCCGAGGCCATCCCCGTGGCTGTCGGTCGACGCGGAGCCCACCACTTGCAAAGCCTGGGGCTGTCGACACAGCTGGTTGACGGCGAGACCCAACGTCGCCCCGCTGGGACTCCGCCCGCCGCCGTCCCTGGTACTCTCGAAGACCCCTTGCCGGGTGACCGCGAACGCGCTTTGCAGAGGCAGGGCAACGAGGCCATCCGCCAGCTTGTCGAGAGAGGTCCCTTCGCGCCCATTCGCCCTCGTTCCCCTGTCAGCGACTCCGCCCGAACGGACAGCGAGCCGCAGCCACTTACGCCCGATGGCCGGACCACGCTGAGGAAGGCGACCCCCGTCCTGGCGAAAGAAACGGTGTCTGGCAACGTACCTTGTCCAGGTGCGACCCGCAGCACTCCCGCTCTTGACGAAAGTCACGCTGCGACTGACGGGGGCGCGCTCGTGGGCGAGGGCGGGCGCGGGTCTGATGGCGAGCGTCAACGGGAGGGGCCTGCCCCCGCTTACCACAGTGCACCAGTACTCTCAGCCCCAGCTGCTGGAGGCGACTCGGCCTTTACTTGGCGGCCAACCGTGCGGCCCGCGCCAACCCGCAAGTCCCCGCCAGACTTCCGTGCACCAGTTGCCGCCGCGCCCCGCGAAGCCATAGGCGATTCCGGCGGCGGGCCCAACCAGTCGGAACAGTCGCAGAGCAGCGTGCGTGAGCAGCATGCGGAGTAGGGGCCTGAAGAGCCCGATTAGCAGGAACTGCCGGCCGCCCACGGGGAGGGCGCGGAAGCAACGCCAGCGCAGAAAAGGGAACACGGGCAAGAACAGGAACAGACAACCACCCACCGCCTCACTCCCCTGGCTGACACCGCCTGCCCTGGCCCCTCCCTCCCAGGCAAGGGCGCGAGCTCGAGCGCCGAGGAGCGCCGGCAGTGCGGCCGGCACGTTCTCCCAGCGCGTCTTCGTGGCCGCGGGTGGACGCCCCGCCTAGCCCCTGTGACTGGCCACCCTCCAGTCTCCCCGCTGCCCCTGGGCCGAAACCTGGCCAGCGACGCCGACCGCGCTGGCGGGGCGGGTGGGCGGCAGGCGGCAGGCGGCGGACGCAGCAGCAGCAGCCGCAGAAGCAGCAGCAGGCGC